ATAATAGATTTTATTGGTCTACATAGATTCTTCAAGCTTAGACAAGCATTACTATCTATCTATATAAGGATTTTTACAGCTGTCGCCGTCTTCCTTCTTTCACCCAACGTCTCCAGTCCTTTCTGTTCTGCCACTCTTCATCTCTAAGGTTTCGTCTTTCCATGGGCTAGTCCACTTCATCCCTCCATGATCTGCGGGGTCTACCTCTTTTCCTCCTTTCTTTTGGGCTCCAATCCGAAATCTCTGCTATCCACCTTGTATGATCTATTCTTCTCACATGTCCATACAAAATTAAACGTTTTTGTTCGATGTAGCTGAGTATCTCTTGTTCTACTGCCATTCTTTCTTTTATCTCCTCATTTCTGATGCGATCTATTTTTGTCACCCTGCAGCTTCTTCTTATGAACTTCATTTCAGTTGCTGTTGTTTTGGACCTGTTTCGTTTATTTATTACCCAATTCTCTGCTCCGCTTTTTTTTGTATTTCTGGTAATCTGTTCATTTGTTTAACACATGTTCTTGTCTGTGCTAATCTTTTGGTTATCTGTTGCTCGGTGGTTCTATTTTTTGAGAGTATGAATCATAAATATTTGAATTTATCAGTGCCGTTAATTTCTCTATCATCGTTTATTTCTAAGTTTCTCACTGGTTCTTGCTCTGTTGTTAAATATTCGGTCTTTTCTAGGTTTATTTCCAGTCCATTTTTTGTGTATTCCTTTTCTAATTTTCGGAGCATATAGCACGAGCATTACATTTAGTGGATATTACCAGCCGTCCCGAAAATAACAGACAGAATTTATAAAGTCCGAGACCTACACGATTGCATTAGAAAAAGATGTCAGGCTTCCTCTATAACCCAATCTCTGTGTCCATGAACAAATAATTCCATATAAAGGCCAACTGAACATCAAACAGTACGTCAAAAATAAGCCGAAGAAGTGGGAAATAAAATTTATGTTTTAGCGGGACAAAGTGGTATAATGTATAACTTTTTAACATATCAAGGTAGCACTACTGAAATAAAGCTGGTCTACAAACATTTTGGCAGTGGCCGCAGGGGTTGTCTCATGTAATTAACAGAAAGAATAAGTGATGAAAATCATGGTCTTTAATTTTTGTTGGCAAAAACAATTTTTGCAGTGGGTACGATAAGCGTAAACTATTTTTCAAATCCTCAACTATCTACTGTTTTTACTTTTTCTGTTGCACTTACTACAGACAGAATTATATTAACCAAATGGTATGATAACAAATCGGTTGTCGCAGCATCCAGTTTTATTATAATCGAAAAAGAGGACTGTTGTACTAGATGGGACAAAAAATCAAATACCTCCAAATTCCAAGACCAGAGGCAATAAAAATGTATAATAAAAATATGGGAGGGGTGGATAAGGTTGACTTTTTGTTTAGTAAAAAAATGTATTAAAAATCATTTATAAAATGTATATAATTTAAAACCCAATCGGGCTATATCAAAAACGTTTTCGAAATCCATGGTCCATCATCAGTGTCCTAAAAAGAATATAATTACTTAATTAAAAAAAACGTAAAATTTAAATTTTGACCAAGGTTAATACAAAGGAATGTATACAGAAACTTGTGGATTTTTGTTAAGTATATATCGTTCATTCGTCAGATCTAGAAAATGGACTATTAGGATGATATTTCACGCAATCGATCTGGCTTCGTCAGTCGACAAGGATTAACCAGTTCCAGCAAAAAAAATGTTTCGTAGAAATGAGATACGACAAGTACAACGACTGTAGCTCCCAATGTAGACGAAAAAAAAAGATAATTCTAGATGCAAATTGGAGGGGTGCAAAAATAAGACCCTCATATTTTGTTCCAAATGTAGTTCCAAAAGTTCATCTGTGTCTGATGAAGGGCAGGAACTGTTTCTCAAAATTTCATTCAAAATAATGTTCGTTTTGTTATTTTTATGTGAATAAATATGTCTAGCGTAAATAAAGTTTTGTATTATTTTGATTCACCAAGACATAATGTCTCTTCAGAGGGACATTACAAAAAACTACTAAAGATTATGAAAATGTTACTTTTAGGAATAATAATCTCTTAATTATGGTAAAGAAAGCAAGTAAAGTAAATAAAAAAAAACGGGTGTGGCAGCCGGTAGAAGTTATAATTCTATCTACGCGTTTGCCGTTACAAATTTATGTATGAGTCAATCTGCACAATCATTACATATGTAATGCTATAGGTAAGAGAGAGCAGGAAGAGAAAAATAAATAGATATATAGGTATATGGTGTATCGTTTGCTGTATATAAACATTTGACCTGTAATAGGAGTATAATAAATGAAGGATTGTATCAATATTTTAATGAAAATATATATTTTTATTTTCATATATGTATAAAAGGAGTTGAATGCAAAAACATTTTTTACACATACTCTACAGTAAAATTCATTGTTTATTTTATTATTAATATAAAAATTACAATGCAACATAATTCAATTTAATAATACAATGTAAATTAAAATGCAATAGTTATAAGTATTTAAAACTGCCAATATACATAACTTACTTTACGAAAATAAAAATAAAGAACCAACAACTCGGATTATTATGTAAACTTTATGTTATGTAACTATAAATATATTAAATTTTTTTTTTTTATTAAAAATAACTATATTGTCACTATATATGTCATTGTCATGGTTTGATTAATGGACATATATGAATGAAAATACAGTTATTTTATGTGGATAGCAAAACCAGTAACAATAGTTTTTATTATAATTTATTTAATTCTCTATAAAAAATGTAAATTAATCCAGTCAGCAGTTTGGCTTAAGCACATATGAATTTTTAATGTTAGGATATCAATAGAAAATGAGATTTTGACGGTATTTATTGATATGGTAATATGTAACAATAAATGTTGGTTAATTTGTCAATATCTGATCTTCTATTTACATATTTTTTATTATTTTTGTATATGTGTCATTTCTAAAAATAACCGTTTCTATTCATGTTTCTGCCTCTCTAGAATTGAAGCCTGTGAAAAATTAAATGTGTGATTTAGATTGATGGAGTGTTCAGCTAATGCACAAGCTTGTCATTTCTTAGTTTTTACGTCACTTTTATGAGTAATAATTCTGCTGTGTAATGTTCGAGAAGTTTCTCCTATATAAACTTTATCACAGTCTGAGCAAGGTATTTGATACACTACTCTAGAACTTTCATTAATTGTTAAAGGATCTTTAGTTTTAGTGTATAAATGTGCTATGGTTTTAACATTTCTGGTGGCAATTTTTATGTTTCCTAATCCTTTAAATAATTTGAGAAGTTTTGGTGTTAAGAATGGAATATAAGGTAAAGATCCAAAAGTTTGTGGTGTTATTAGTATTAAGGTGTTAACTGTAAATATAATTAAATAAACATACTAATTGAAAATTCTTATCCCGTTGGCTTACTCAATAAATTAATTTTTAGTACTGCAAACTCTCCAACCTCCATCACATTGATCGACAATACCACCAATACAAAACAAATCACAGTAAAAATGGCAAATCAAGAAATAAACAATAGCCTGACAGTTAACACCTTAATACCAATAACACCACAAACTTTTGGATCTTTACCTTATATTTCATTCTTAACACCAAAACTTCTCAAATTATTTAAAGGATTAGAAAACATAAAAATTGCCACCAGAAATGTTAAAACCATAGCACAATTATACACTAAAACTAAAGATCCTTTAACAACTGATGAAAGTTCTAGAGTAGTGTATCAAATACCTTGCTCACACTGCGATAAAGTTTATATAGGAGAAACTTCTTGAACATTACACAGCAGAATTATTTCTCATAAAAGTGATGTAAAAACTAAGAAATCGCAAGCTTGTGCATTAGCTGAACACTCCATCAATCTAAATCACACATTTAATTTTTCACAGGCTTCAATTCTAGAGAGGCAGAAACATGAACAGAAATGGTTATTTTTAGAAATGACACATATACAAAAAAAAAATGTGTAAATAGAAGATCAGATATTGACAAATTAAGTAACATTTATTGTTACATATTAACATATCAATAAATACCGTCAAAATCTCATTTTCTATTGACATCCTAACATTAAAAATTCATATGTGCTTAAGCCAAACTGCTGACTGGATTAATTTATATTTTTTTATAGACAATTAAATAAATTATAATAAAAACTATTGTTACTGGTTTTGCTATCCACATAAAATAACTGTATTTTCATTAATATATGTCCATTAATCAAAGCATAACAATGACATATATAGTGACAATATAGTTATTTTTAATAAAAAAAAAAATTAATATATTTATAATGGTTTGTTTTGTAGAGTACAATATTAACAACTGTAATCTCACGACTAGTAAGTAAGACAATTAACAATTTTAACTAGTTAATTTATAGTTCTTTTTATAGATGTCTTGAAAAAGAATTAAATAAAATTCGAAAGCTTGACAGTAAGTCAAAGAGTTTTCTTTGTCTTGTGGGCCAAATAAACTGACTGCATCCTCAAAAATCATAAATTATATATATATATATATATATATATATATATATATATATATATATATATATATATAATATAGTATAATATTAAATATATATACAAAAGGAACATTTTTATTCTTGACGGAGAAAGAGAGAGAGAGAGAAAATATATCTTCTGTCTTTATCTTGCTCATTATCTTACATATGTAATATTTTCACAGATTCACTCTCATGCAAATTTCCAACGCCGACCGTGCGTATAGAAGTATAACTTTAATAATTTTTTTCTCAAATAAAATGACAGACGTATACTTCAGGGGTACTGATCGTAATGACCTTCTGGAGGGACAAATTCACTTTAAAGGTTAAATGTTAAGCATGTGCCAAATAATTACGTTTTACAAAACCGCTAATACTAACGGCTCGATATGATATTGTGATTGGATATCTCAAGTCACCAGATGTAGAAATATTAAAAAAGACTATAACTGTCGTAATTATTTATTTTTTAAATTATAAATAAATTTTAAATTTGAGATAGTTTACTACAGTTAAGTAAATTGTATCATCGTTCTTAATTTCTATGCTCCTATGGGCCGTATTAATATTCTAGAACCAGCTAAATTGTATTCGTGACCCCTAAATCCTGACCAATTAAGACCGTGGTGTTTGTAGGCGTCAGAAAGTGCAATATTCATATATTTTCCATTTAAATTACTGGCGTGGCAACTTGTATACCACCAGGCGCCATCTAAAACAAAAATAGGTTAAAATGATAAATTGCTTGAAAATATGAGTATATTATTAGTGGGTAAAATAGAAAAAAGACTTAGAATTAGTGTTATCATAATCTGAAGGACCTGTCTCGATTTAAAATAAACAATCTTCTCCCTTTGGTGACCTTCGTTATCTGAACACCGAAAAATATCTCTGCTCCTCATTTTTTAACATTTATAGTGTGTTATTGTCCTTGTATATTGGTGGTTTTTTATCCCACTTTGAATGTTTTTATTCTATATACACTGTCAATTAAAAGATATATTCAAGCTTTTATGTCCCAGAGAAGAAAGTTTGGCGATAGTGGTGTCATGGTTTGGGCTGAAATCTCATTTGAGGCTCGAACTGATCATTAATTGTTACCAATAGCCACCTAAATGCTTTTTGATATATAGAGGATATTTTGGCAGAAGCAGTAGTTCCATTTGGTCCATTTATTGGTGACAATTTCGTCTTTATGAACGATAATGCACTGCCGCATACTGCAAAAATCACGATAAATTACTTGAAGGAAGTAGGAATTAATACCCTAGAACCTGGTCGACCAGAAAGTCCTGCAGAACTTCAAAACATGCTTCGTGAAAAATATGAACGTATTCTTCAAGTTTTTATTTAAAATTTGTTCCTTTTCCATCTAAATCGTATACAAACGGTTATTGACATCTAAGGACATTATACCCGATATTAGACAATTTTGTTCAAGTTCACTCATTTTTATTTGTTGTACTTTATTATTAGTCCACAATATTAGATCAATATCCACAAATGAAAAAGTACATGAACTGGAAGAAGAATTAACATAAAATATGATAGCATAGGCCTATCAGAAATTCGACGAAAAGAAGAAAACCGAATACAGCTAAAATCGGGTAATCTACAATAATATAAAGAAAATAAGAAGAATAGTAAATTTGGAGTAGGATTTTTAATAAATAAAGCTATAGGTAACCATGTCCAAATTTTTAAGGGTATATCAGATCGTGTCGCCTATGTTATACTTAAAATAGGAAGAACATCAATTAGAATTATCCAGGTATATGCCCCAACGACAGCTTTTGATGACGAAGATATCGAAATATTTTACGAAGATATATCAAAGGCTATGGAAGAACATAAAAATCGTCTAACACTAGTAATTAGATATTTCAATGCCAAACTGGGTAGAAAACTAAACAAAGAAGAAACTAAAATAGGAGATTTCGGGTATGGTCAGAGAAATGATAGAGGTGCTACTTTGATGAACTACCTAGAAGAAAAGCATCTATGTAATGAACTCCTTTGACAAAAAGTAGCCCCAACAAAAATGAACATGAATCAGCCCTAATGGATCCACAAAAAATGAGATCGACTACGTACTGTCCACGGAACGATATATCATTAAAGATGTAACAGTTTTTAACAGATTCACAACAGGTAGCGATCACAGAATGGTCAGAGCAAAAATTAGTATTGTCGGTAACTATGAAATGAAAAGAAAAATTATTAGAAACTGGGATCTAGTAGACAGAAACAAACTAGGTCAATATAAAGAGATATACAAACACCTATTAAAAGAACAACTTGCTTAAAAATTAGACAGTGATGATAAAGATATAGACGAAATAACCAACATACATACAGCAACGATGACTACATCAGAAAAAGAAAAAGCAAAAAAGGATCTGAGAAAGATCAACTATCTATTAACAGAAACAAAGAAGCTTATGGATAAAAGAAGGAAGCTGAACGAAGAAGGCAAAAGGAAATCTATAGAATATGTAGAAATCAATAAAGAATGATAAAAGAAAATAGAAGAAAAAGAACAAGAAATAAAAATAGAAGAAGTAATACCGAACAACAAAAATATGAAATGCTTAAGGCCAAAATTAGGTAAGTTTGAAATAAACAAAATAAAAGATGTAAACGGAGTAGAAACAAACATTAAAGATGACATCATAAATATAATCCACTATTTCTACTCAGAATTATATAAAACAAAAAAGGAACCACCAGAAGAAATTAAAAACCAACTTAAGGCTAAAATAAAAAATATCAACTCAAAGCTACAGCCAGAAATAAGCAAATCAGAAATAAAGAAGGCATTGAAAGAAATGAAAAACAACAAATCGCGTGGAAAAGATGGAACATCTGCAGAGATACTGAAATATGGTGGACAAGTGGTAATTATTACTCTTCATTCCCTTTTTAACAAGTTATTAAAAGAAAAAAGTATACCAAACAACTGGAAGGAATCCGTAACCGTTATCCTACACAAGAAAGGGGATAAAGCAGATGTAAAAAACTACCGTTCTATAACAGTCCTTAATGTAATGTATAAACTCCTAACAAAAATTTTAACCAATAGATTGACAACAAAATTCGACGGATACCAGTCGAAAGAACAAGCTTATTTTAGAAAAGGATTCAGCACAAGTGACTATTTACTAAGTATGAAAATACTTATAGAACCAGCAAATGAATATCAAATTTTCGTATATATGGCGTTCATAGATTTCGAAAAGGCTTTCGACAGTGTCGAACATTGGGCACTAAAAAGTTCTTTGATTAACAGCAGAATTGACCACAGATATACGGAACTAATAGCCAATATATATATATATATATATATATATATATATATATATATATATATATATATAAGGAAGCCAAAACAACAATTAAAGTATATGAAGGAACAAAATAAATACAAATAAATAGAGGCGTGAGACAGGGTGAAACAATGTCACCGAAACTTTTCAATCAGGCTCTGGAAGATATTTTTAAAGATTAGAATGGGAAAAAAAAGGTATAAAAATTTGTGGACAACGCTTAAACCATCTAAGGTACGCTGATGTCATCGTATTGATAACCAATAAAAAAGAAGAATTATTTGAAATGATGAAAGAACTGGACGTAGAAGCTGGAAAGATAAGCCTTAATATATTATATATACTATATATATATATATATATATATATATATATATATATATATATATATATATATATATATATAGCTTTGAGGTTTATTGGGATTTATTCAGCGGTGAAATAAGTGTACTCTTTTAACTAAGTTTCAAGCTTTCGAAAATGTTTATTTTCATCATCAGGAAAAAATTGAAAATAAAGTGCGACTGTTAGTAAAGCATCCTCGAAATTAGTTGTAGAAAATGGTTTTAAAAAAACGAGAAAAAACTTACGTTATTGAGGTTCGTCTTTCGTGGATGTTTCACTTACAGGTGACAATTTTACGCACCACTCATTGATTGAGTCAAATTTTAAAATATTTAACACATATAAAAATTGCATGGTGTATAAGACCAAACTTAATAAATTATTATACATTAACACATAAGAAAAAGACAGTTAAAAAAGTTTACAACGGCCACGTGTGCGGGCCAACTGTTGAATGATAGGTTAAGAGTAACTGTCATTCCTGGACATTGCAAATGACAGTACATCTTCTTATTTCTTTGTCTTATGTAGTACTACTATTCTTACACATCAAATTATTGACAAAGGTTGTATTAGAAAAAACAGACTTTAATAAAGAAAATGTGAAAAAAATATGTTTTAAAGATGTCACCAATTTGAAAATAGCGTATAAAACTTCATTAACTGTAAGATCCATCTATTCTAAGGTTAAAGATAAAAGTAACATCAAAGATTGTTCTAACGTTGTCTACCAGATACCTTGCAACAACTGCAATTTAGTATATGTGGGACAAACCACACGTAACCTAGGCAGTCGCCTAATCAGTCATCGTAGCGACAGTAGATTATATCCAGAAAGATCTGCACTGGCAGAACATGTAAATAAAGAACATCATAATATGAATTACGATTCAGTTAAAATTTTAGCTACGGAGTCCAATTACAATAAAAGACTTTTTTTAGAAATGGCATTCATTGCACAAAACTCAAATGCAATGAACAAAAGGAGTGACATTAATCAATTGAGCACTATATACTACTACCTATTATATTTGGATGGATTATCACAATTCAATGATGTTTCAATGACTGATTCATTGTAAAGTTTCCAGGTTTCGTATATTTTTTTCACATTTTCTTTATTAAATTCTGTTTTTTCTAATACAACCTTTGTCAATAATTTGATGTGTAAGAATAGTAGTACTACATAAGACAAAGAAATAAGAAGAAGTACTGTCATTTGCCATGTCCAGGAATGACAGTTACTCTTAACCTATCATTCAACAGTTGGCCGGCACACGTGGCCGTTGTAAACTTTTTTAACTGTCTTTTTCTAATGTGTTATTGTATAATAATTTATTAAGTTTGGTCTTATACACCATGCAATTTTTATATGTGTTAAATATTTTAAAATTTGACTCAATCAATGAGTGGTGCGTAAAATTGTCACCTGTAAGTGAAACATCTACGAAAGACGAACCTCAATAAAGTAATTTTATTCTCGTTTTTTTTTTTAAAACCGTTTTCTACAACTAATTTCGAGGATGCTTTACTAATAGTCGCACTTTATTTTCAGTTTTTCCTGATGATGAAAATAAACATTTTCGAAAGCTTGAAACTTAGTTAAAAGAGTACACTTATTTCACCGCTGAATAAATCCCAATAAACCTCAAAGCTCCGTTTTCTAATGTTGTCAGCAAAGACTTCTTTTCCTATATATATATATATATATATATATATATATATATATATATATATATATATATATATATATATATATATATATATCTGGGTCAAACTATAAAACTTAACAAAGAAAACCAAACAGCAGAGATAAAATGACGAGTTAGACTGGCATGGGCGGCATTTGGCAAACTAAGCTACATTCTTAAAAACAAAAGATATCCACAGCATCTTAAGACCAAATTATACAATCAATGCATACTCCCTGTTCTTACTTATGGTTCCCAAACGTGGACATTTACAAAAGCAAACATGGACAAAATCATAAAACCAAAAGAGCAATGAAAAAACAAATCTTGCACATAAGACTAATATTTGCCGGATACAATATAAGACAAAAAAAAAAACCGATGGAACAAAATTCTTATAAGTTGGAGCCCGTGGGAATATAAACGAAGCAGAGGAAGGCCCCAAACGAGATAGATGATATCAAGAAGCACATGGGCTCTAGGTGGATGACTGTAGCGACAGACAGAGAAGAATGGAAAAGGATTGGGGAGGTCTATATCCAAAGATATACCAAAGAAGGCTAATTAGATAGATAGATGTTAGAGAATCAAGCAATAATGACTATGTTTTGCTTTTAAACCGAAATATGTTGAGTATAAAATTTTATGAAACAGTGCATGAAATTTTCAATGAATTTTTGTTTTCGGAAATTTATAGGATGGCCACTTTCTGACCGGTCATTGTATATACACACTAGATACTATACTTTAATTATTCTTAGAGAAATATGTCCTAAGTTGTCTTAATAAAAGTCAACTCATACTCACACAATTGGGTATCTATTGTCCAGTCTACTTCGGTTGTCTAATACATTGGGATATGGTTAAATATAACACTTACCATATATTTTTGCACAGTTTCCTGGATTCGTGTCTTGATCGACATCAAAGGTAGTAAATTTGGCATTTAAGTGAGGTGTTAAGGCATCTCCAGCGTCTCCAGAAAATCCTTTGAGCACATTTAATGGGTAACCATCCTTTTCAGGACCAATTGAAAACGACGTATATTGTGCATATGCTTTTTTCTTATCCCGATCGGTCAATTCTATTAACAATTCATTTGACTCAAAAGCTAAAAAAATCAAAAATAAACTTGACGATCTGTAAAATATCGTGCTTTAAATGCTGTAAAAGCTTCATACCAGTCATATGATATATATTTTCAAGTCCGATCCAGAATTCTCCATTTAAATCACCGAAACCAAACTTGTACTCTCTCCAACCTAAATAGAAATCTTGAGAACCGTCAAATCTCTTCTGAATGTGAGTCCAACCTCCTCCTTTAGTATCCATGTCGCACAGAACAGAAAACGGTTTACTGCTAGTCCTGGGTTTAATTTCATATATTCCAGATTTGTTTATACCTAAAACAAAAATGACTATTTACAATGAATATAACAGCATTCTTGTCTCTCTATAAAGAGATATCTTTCTGCTATATTGGCTTTATGGAAACTGCTTTATAAAGATAAATGTCATATAGCCATGTGAATAAAGACAGACTTTTAAAGAGTACTTGGAAAACCAACGCAATCGAAATGAAACATTAAAAAAAAATGTGCGAAAAAAACAAAACAGAATTAATTACTATTTAAATGAAAATCAGCCATAATTAAATATTAAAGTACGTTTATTGACGTTTCAATTTCCACTTCGGAAATCGTTCTCAAAATACAAACATTAGTAAAATTTATTTTTATAATTTTTCCGAAGTGGAAATTGAAATATATACATATATATATATATATATATATATATATATATATATATTATATATATATATATAATATATATATATATATATATATAATATATATATATAATATATATATATATATATATATATATATATATATATATATATATATAATATATATATATATATATATATATATATATATATATATATATATATATATATATATATATATATATATATGTCTTCATATCAAGGCGAGATCCGTTTGTATCATAAGCTATACAAAATGAGATCCGTTTTGCAAGGCGAGATCCGATTTTGGATCTCACCTTGTATTCACGTGTATATAGTGACATCTCGATGTAACAATGATGGGGGTACAAAAAAATCGATTTTTGTCTGGACCTCATTTTGCACCCCTTTTGGTGAATTTTATATTGCAGTAGTTCCACTAAATTCGCTGTAGAGGCAGTGCGAGCGATCCGTTGTGTATATGCTAAATATACATTTTGTAGACAACCCGAGATCCGGTAAATTTGGCAACATCGCAAATGAATTTTACAGTCAGAACTCTCACTCCCTTCGGCTTATTTCCGGTTTGAATAATATTATTTACATTATTAAAGAGCTCTGTCCAGAAAGGCGATTGTCAAATATCTCGAGAACTAGACTCGGGAACTAAACTTAGGAATTCTTTTTTAATGGTTTTTCAAAATCTATATACTTATGCAATAGCAGGGTTCTTATGTTTCCTGCGAACGCGGTGGGTGTAGCAACTTTGAATTTTCAACTGGAACCCTTCATTTTTATTTAAATAAACATTTTGAAATTTGATTAGAACTATTATGGATATAGATATAAAATTAGAATAATTAATTAAATTAGAAATTTAGAGTTGAAAATACACAACTTTTGTGTGAATCTATAATAGCTTCTTTAACCAGTGGGAAGAGCTTCAAAATCGTCGTTTTGATGACATTTTTAGGAGTTAGATTATTTTAAGTAATTTTTTAGATAAAATTATGTAGAACACGTTGGTAAGTACTCGAAGTCTAAAAAATTTCGGAGACATTGTTTATTTGTAGTATTATTTTTTTACAATTTTTCTTCGCATATCTTCTCCACTGTTTGTTTTACAAAAAAATGTCAAAAACTTATTTTAATCGCTTTTAAAAGACCTACAAAATAAATCTAACCGCGTTCAATTTGAATGAGAGTTACAAACACAAATCTGTTTTGCATATCATTTATAATTAAGGGACTAACTATGCTGTTCACGTACTATATTAAGATTCAACGGGAATATTTTTCAATATATGTAGTTCATTTATGCTAAACTTGGACACTGTACGTCAAATAGTTTACGAGCTATAGCTTTATAAACAAATTAACTTTATATTTCCTTTAAATTCGTTTACTGAAGAAAATCCAAATTTAGCTATACAGCTCGCACTCCCTCGTAGGGGAAAATTCACTCATCCCAGATACCCACGTTATCAAAAGGATTGACCTGTGGGACTCTTTCTGTGTTCGATTCCTAGGTGACTTGGTACATCGGGGTTTGTCCCAAAAATTTTCATACATTATTATCTAGTATTATATAAGCTTATTAAGGACGTTATAACGGCGTTAAAATTCAAAAGCTTGTGATATATAAAACATCTAAAATTGCAACGGTTTTTCCCTGGCAGCAAATTTCAGTTTATCACCTTTTTTGTAACATTTCACTTGGGCCATAATATATTTACAAGAACCAATGAATTTGATCTCGTTTCCGTTTACATGAGCATTGGAGCCCCTGTACAGTCTGACAATTAGAAAAAAACCAATATAATAATTATTCGTCACAAAAAGGTAAAAATAAACTCATCTTTTACACCTATTAGGAGTAGAGTATATGTATGTATGTTTCTTCAACTTGGATTCCGTGCTTAAAACTGGTACCAGCTCTACATTTTCTTTACTCCAGCCAGTTAGCAACAGATTCGGGAGTCAAAATCTTGGTGTCACACTACATACTCATACCTTTGTTTGGATGAGTATGTACACGAATATTATATATTATACTGTCTGAAGTAGGAGAAAGTTTATATGGACCATTACAAAGATTGTTAGTACTGGTCAAATACAAAACCAATCCTTTTAGGGTTGTAGAGGTTCTTGAACACTATTGATTTTAAAATTCTTGCATAGTCGCCAAATGATTTGCAGTTGGAGGGTTTGCCAACGACTTGGATTAAACTCATACCTTTAGGAATGTGGCACTTTTGTTACTTTATAATGGTAATGGTAGATATTTAGACATAACTGTAAACTGTCCTATTATAGGACCTAAGGCAGATTTATTTGATGGTATCGATAAAACTCCTACAGGTACAAGTGACATTGAATATGCTGTAAATTCATATTTGAAAATATTCTCATAATATTTATGTTACTTTTAATTGCCTTGGTTGTTAGTATTTTTTATAAAAGCTCTTGCTTAGCATGAATAATTTTTTTCTTTTCAGAGACAGTTTTATAGTGTTGGAAATGTTGAAAGTACTTCTTGTATGCTGATAAAAATTGGGAGTTCTAACAGTAAGAAGAAATTTTGCTAGGCTTTTCTCCATTTTTTTTGTATATTTAGTAAGGGTATTTGAACATTTGGCGATGCAATCTTATTAGCTGAAATTACGAGAAGACGATCTACGCTTTTGAAAAATACATTAAATCGTAAAAAACTGATCATGTAGTTTTTGTACAGAATATTCGTCAATTTTCATCCGTTTTTTTTTCTATTGTCTACGTTTTGACTTGAGTGGTTGCTTAGGTCTCATGATGCACGAAATTCATCTACCATCATGCCAATCATATTGTAGCTTAACAACCATTCGTCTAGTTTGGTGCTGGTTTTAATCAATCTCACGATTCCTCCTGCATCTTTTGAGTTTGTATTTATATGTTTCCAGCTGGATCTACAAATAGTTGGTTAAAGTTTCTGTTCAAACTTCTCACAACAAAATTTTTTCTCATAAAGTCTTCATGCAATTCTGGAGCCTTATCAGCAAGTTTGTACATGTCCAACAAATGTAATGTTCCCTAAAAGAATAGTTCACATGGTCAAATGCAAAGAAGTAGGGGTACATTTTTCTAAAACTAGAACAAAAATGTATTCTCCAGTTTCCGCTTCTTTCAGCAAACGAAAATGGAAATGGACTTTACGGAAAGAAACATGCCGTAATCTGATTTTTGACTCAAGTTCACTGTCATACCTGCAGCTGTTCATTAAAATAATTTAAAACTTCTAATATTAAAAATCTCAGCTCAGTGGATTTCGTGCTATTAGTAAAAAATAATGCACAATGATGCACTTTCGCAATCGAATATACAACACAACAGAATTTCGATGTAACATCGACCCTAACAACATCGCCATTACTAAAGTCGATTTGAGGTTGACTTCAGATTATGAATCTCACCCTTCCTCGCATCTCTGCGTTTGCCACTGTGCGTCGTGACATGCCTTTTGATTTATTTAATTTTTTCTTATACTATTTATCCAATCGACATTCTAAACAAACCGACATGTTCTCTGATGTTTGGTCTATAACTTTTACAGAAAGCCATTTTTTGCAAGATCCAATATTTTTCGGGGTAGAGCTAGGAGAAACGATTTTAAAAATATGGGTTTTCAGACTCATTCTAAGTCATTTTGTATGAAGGCACTCCGTATACAACAATGGTTTGACGTATTTTTATAAATAAAATAAAAATATTTCTAATGTCCGGATCGATATGCAAATTTGAAGAATGAATTTTCGGATATCGTAGATCCGAAAAAGGACGAAAAACAAATTAGCACTTTTTTGTAAGGCTCCCCACCACTCCCCTCACGCTACGATTTTCGGACGACCAAGTGATTTTGCATTAGAAAGATATTAGAAACGAATAAAAATAGGTTTTGCATTGTAGCAACAAAGTGCCCACCAAAATCTATTCTAGAAGCCTTTTTCCAGTCTACTTACTCTTCAGTATGGAATTGTATTTACTCTTGTACAAAACTAATATTTTTATGTTAAAACACGATTAGAATGTTAAAATAATAGCTTTTGTTATACAGATAAACTGTTTAGTTTAAATAATTTCCCCTTTTTAGTTTTGTACATAAATAATAAACAAAAAGAGCTTTGAGAATAGATTTCACAAATTCAATAAAACAGAGCATTTTAGTAATTCGGTTTATAAAGTTTATGTTGAATTATTTAATAATATACATAAAAATTATAATCATTACTTAGCTTCTGTTATCTTTGAATTTTGTTTTACTACTTCAACTGACCGCTTCCCTTGCAATATTTTTAAAATACAAAACACCATAACCGCAAATTACTTTACTGTTTGAGTAGGAAATATGCAATACAACACGAGCTCCGGTCGCTCGACTAATACTCTTTAGAGCTGGCAACAGTGTCTGATCTCGCGTTGATCTGTAAATATCTAAAATTTCGTATATAAGTCTTCCCCTTCCCTTTTCAGCTACGGATCTCATTTTGTTGTAAATTTATCAAAAAAATTTAAGTTCAAAAATCTTTTCCCCTCTAAGTGTGCCATGATTAATATGTTAATTATAAAGATAGTTATGAACAATATACTCCATTAATTAATTTCCTATTGGTGGATCTCGGTTGTCCTCGATTTAATCGGATCTCGCCTTGATATGAAGACGTATATATATATATATATATATATATATATATATATATATATATATATAATATATATATATATATATACATATATATATATATATATATATATATATATATTATATATATAAATATATAATATATAGTTTGAGTTTAGTTCTTGAACCTTAATATATATTTTTAAGGTGGATTTTCTTGGGCTTAGGTTCATAAAAAAAGTTGATTTGATACTGAGGCATTTTCATATATTTTTTCTTAAAGAAAAACTTACCTCACAGTTTTTCCTATTTCGTGTACCGGAAACCCACTCATACAAACCGATATCTTAATGCCCAGTTACATCATCACCCCGTCCAACTCAATTCAGTGGTCAGCACTCTCATTTCTCGTTCCAAAAGAGCGATAACAATTATAGGTCATCCATCAATTCAATAAGGCAAACACTCTTACAAAACAGCTATCACAAAACCCAAATCAATAAGAGCATTCAAAAATATCTAAACCCCACTTCACCCAAAAAAGAAACCTTGCTGCCTGATCGACCCAAAATCTTTCTACCTTTTATTAAAGGTGTCACTGACAAAATCAGTAGAACCCTTCTTCCTCTAAACATTAAAACCATCTTCACTACTCAATCCAAGTTGTCCAATCTCGTCAGATCCGTAAAAGACCAAATCCCTAATGAAGACCATTGTGTCTACGAGATACCTTGTTCCAGTTGCCCAATCATTCGTGAGCCTATCGAAATCGAACAACGGCCTAACAGCCTAAATACGCGCGATGACGCGAAACGATTGCCGGCAACATGGCGACCCCTGCTTCAGCGACTTTATATAGCTCTTGCATCGTTGCTCTTTCTTTCTAGCTTTGATGTTCTAGCACTTCTTTTCAAATAATCGATTTCAACTGCCAACAATCTTCCCTTCAGGTCTGCATTAATTGTCCATACTTCAGAGCCATAACAAAGAACTGATTCAACTATGCCTTGCCCTATTATTTTTTTGTTTATTTAGGAAATATTGCGATTTCACCATGAGAAGTTCAGACATCCTACAATTTTACATCCTTCAATAATTTGGTGTTTAATTTCGGTTTCTCCCAAGCCGTTCTTATCAATCTGTGCACTTAAATATTTAAATGTTTCTACTTGCTTGATTTCCACGTCCTCGTCTATCAACACTTCAAACCTTGCATCTGAATTGATAACTAAATATTCTGTTTTCTTCATACTGACTTGTAACTTCACACACGCATGCTGCATAAACACCAATATCTAAAATTGTGAAACTGCAACACAACTGTCTTTGATACTTAGGTATATGCGCACGGTCAAAAGCACTAACTACAAAAATATTAAACTGAAATAATAAAATGACAGTCGGTAACGACAAAACCGGAGCATTGGAGCATTTCAGGAAGGTCAGTACCACAACCACTATACAAAAGGCGTCATTTTAAATTTTATCACGGCTTGGTCCTTTCGACCGACATGCATGTAGTTCCTGATTCTGTAAGAACCCGAATGCTACCTCTCATATCCAAATTTAGTGTTTTTTTTTCACAGATGCGCCCTGGTTTAAATATTATTTCCTTCCATGACATTTTTTGCATCTGTTTTATAAGGAATACAATCCAAGTTCCCCACACACATTTGTTGATTTTTTTTTTGTCTTTACTTGCTTCAGTTTATTTTCTATAGGTGTTTGGTAATACATAGTAACATCTGTTTACTGCCTGTATAACTCTTTATTTATTTATTTGTGCATAGAAGTTGATCATGGGAAGGCCCATAAATACATTCTTTAACAACTATAAAATTTAAATTCCCAACTCTTTTAGTATTGTTATGCATTGTCTTAAGTTCTGTGATATTTCTTTACAGTTGCATATCGTTACACTACATATTTCATCCGGTTACAGTTAGGCTGCATAATAATGTTTTGGGCTGAAGTATAAGTTAAATGAAGAGTGGCATATCTAGTAATAGATAAAAATAAAAAAGAAGTATTAAAAATATTAATTTGGTGAAAGTGTTCTTTTAAAATTTTAAATTACTTACCACTCTCTAGAATTTCTCTGCAGCTTCTTGGATAAGCTTTTTTGATATCTACGCTCTGATGTAGCTTGTTAAGATGACATAACGGAATTTTGCTTACACCAACCAAGGCTTCACACCCATTTAACATAGTTAATATATTATTTACATTATCATTTCTATCTTTTTCTTTGTCAACAGCGAACGAAAACTTAATTGGAACTTCTACATAATTGTCTTTTTTACCTACGGATACAACATTAAGATATAATTAATTTTTAAATATACTACTCATAAAATTTTTAAAATCATTCTTCTTAGTTAAACGACATACATAAATATATACGAAATATTAATTACATAATAAGGTGTACAATATATATCTATTTTAATTATTGACATACTTGTTGGATTATATTAAAAAAGTTTATAGATTTTAAGAATTCTACCAAGTCATATATGTATTTATATTCTCCTATAAGTTCTTTAAATGTTTTTGGAAGGTGGAGATGTAGTTGTTTTCAACTTGGTATATTGGACAGTCGATCAAAATGTACTTTACTGTCACTTTATATTCACAAACAAAACACACTGGTTGCTCTTCTCTTTTCAACAAATGTGTTCACGTGTTGTAGCGATGTGTCCTAATCTAAGATGTGTTATTAGGACTTGTTGTCCCTTTGAAGGCCGTAATTTCCTGGAAGGATGGAAGATTTTATTTTTTTCAATTTAGTTTTGCTTTTATTCCATCGGTTTTGCTAAATCTAGTGCAATTTTGCTTTTAAGGAAGATTTAAATCTAAATGCACCGTTAGATTTTTTACTGATGGTTACTGCGGACATAACTTGACTGTCTGCCTTTTCGTTACCATCTAGGTATTCCAACGTGTGACGGTACACAGAGGAACTCTACTATCAAATTGTTTTGGAATATAGGGTATAAAATTAATTTAATCTGCTGTAATATGGGACGAAGATATTATTTAGATTTATTATAAATATTATAGATATTATTATCAGATATTATTGGGAAGTTTTGTGTCTAGAATACAGGTTAGGGCCTTAATTATGGCAAATGATTCTGCAGTTTAAATAGTTGCCTAAGGAGATAATTTATAGATGGAATGTTTATGTGCTATCACAAAGCATGCTCCTGCTTTATTTATTGTCTTAAGGCTTATCCTCGAAAATTGTAACGGTAAAATTCAGAGAGATATCTATTTCAAAAATATCTTTCTTTACAAAAACAAAATCCATTCACGAAGAATATTCTAAACGTCATCTTGTACTAGACGTTAGCTTTATACCTACCTTATACAACCCACTATTGTGTAAAGTCTTGGGTCTATACAATAAACGAGTGGGCGGCCTTCTATTCAGTGCGGTTTTGAAATAATGTTGAATAAAAACATTCATGAAATTAAAATAAAAGAATTTACGTCTATTAGTAGAAGTGCGATTTATAAAATTAGTACTTGAAGCATAAATCGCGGGAGGAATATATGCATCAGTTTTCAAATAATTATTATTTACTGTATAATTTCTAAATTGAACCATTTTCACTTCTTTAGTTAACAATGTATCTGTTTTGACAACTAAATAGGTAATTAGACAAAATAATTATTAATTTCAAAACAGGAGTTTAAAGAATTAGAAAGAAGTAGCCCGGGCCCAGTTAGATGGTCAAGCTTATTCCAGTGGAAGCAATAAGGAGGATTATTTTTCGTTTTGGCACAGCTGACATGCTCTCTCTAGCACTACAACCCATGAAACTGTGGTAAAAAGCATGCTTTATTTATACGGTTGTGAAACACGACGATTAACAGAGACAGACTAATATCGAAGAAAGATATCTCGTCGAACTTAATGCAATAAAGTATGAAAATAGAAGGTACAGTCATGGATGGCATACAACGAAAGCAGCTCAAATGGGTACAGGTCCAATAAATGAAAGACAGTAGACTCCTAAAACAAGTATCTGTATGAACACCTACCGTAATCCAGAAGAGAGGATTACCTTAGAAAACACGGATGGAGGGAATAAGAAACTTAATGAGCTCAAAAGAACTTAAAGAACAATGGAACAACCGAATTGAATGAAAAATGAACGTCGGAAAACATTTTATTTTAGGTACATTTTTTGGACTAAAAATAAATTCCAAGAAAACCAAGTTCATGGTATTTACAAAAGCACAAAGCATCAAAGTTAAGCTAGTACTAGATAATACAGAAATTGAACAAATATCTTTGTACAAATACATTGGAGCATGGATCACAGAAGATACTGATTAGACAAAAGAAATAAGATGCCGCATTGGAATTGCACGGTCAACTTTTAATAGAATGAGAAAACTTTTTTGTAATCGAGATATCAATATATCGTTTCGGATAAGAATGCTTTGATGTTATATTTTCTTTACCCTTATATATGGGATTTAAGCTTGGTCACTTAAAAAATCCAACATTAAAAACCTAGAAGCATTCGAAATGTGGTGCTACCGACGTGTTTTGAAAATATCATGGATGGATCGCAAAACAACCGAACAAGTTCTCAAACAACTAGGAAAACAATGCGAAGTTTTAAATTCCATAAAAATCAGGAAATTAGAATACTTGGGGCACATCATACATCACACATCAAGACGTAAAATTTAGTGGTAGCAGCAGCAAATTGATTAAACCCAGCCTTAGAGAAATGTTCACCCGGGTAGTACGATTGGGTGTAACAATTCATTGGAGCAAGGTGTGCTAACTCGTGTAAAAACAGGAGTCACCCCACCGTGCTCCAATGCTCAAGACCATCCCTTTCCCCCCTATAGCAATCTGATTCGCTATAGAGGCACAACAATCAGCCAAGTGCTCTTCATGTGGAGGTCCTGGGTAATAGAACCCCAACATGGTTTCCTAATACGATTGTGAAAACTCAGGACAGCGCATCTCCGCTTTATTCCTGTTTATCTTACTGTGGCATATCCGCGAAACTAAATTTGCTTGCTGGGCATCAAGTCCCCGCTCTGAGTCCCGGCTCAGCTCGACGACTTGATGCTCGAGAGTGATGGGCCCTACGTGCCCGGGTTTTTGTGGTTTTTGTTAATTTTTTTGGTGGCCGAAGCCGGTTTTTGTTAGTATTTTTTTTGATTTTTTTGGTGGCCGAGGCCGGTTTTTTGTGTTTTTTTTTTTTGTGATTTTTTTGGTAGGTAGCCTGTGAAAAGAAAATCATAATTAGTATAAAGTCTATATCATAGCAAAGAAAATAAATAAATATTATACATTACCACAATATAGGCTGTATCCTAGTGCGTGCAACAGGGCCCACTAGTTGGGCGATGGCATATTATGGCGATTTGAGCTACGAACTATCTTCCTAGTGTGTGTGTTTTGATTGTTTTTTCTTCCCACTCTGGTGTTTATAGGTTTTATCCCTCTGGTGGTTTTTTTTTTTTTTTTTTTTTATTTCTCTCTCTGGTTTTGCGTTAGTCTAATATCTGTTGTTTAGGTCTTTTGTGCTTCCATCTGTGGAAAGCGTCATACCTCATCATCTCTCTCAGTATGTGACTGGGGTGGTCTTCTAGTTCTGAAATCTAGTGGTTACGCAATCTTCGTGAATGGTTTGGATGCAATTCAACTGAACTATTCAGGCGCATATCCAACAAAATGATAATTGCCAGAATGATTTCCAATCTCCGATAGGAGTGGAACTTGAAGAAGAAGAATAAGTACATTATTATTATATCATATTATATATATTTATATAATATATGGTATACACGATATTGAAAGAGGTTACAACATAGACAATCAACAAAATCTACATCGACAACTACACAGTGAACACCCAACAATAATAGAAGTGTCAAGTGCCGTCCTAAAACTCAAAGAAAATAAAGCCACAGGAATCGATTAAATCTGATTTTTTTTTTTTGCAGTAACCCATAAACTAATAGTACTTATATGGCAAAATGAATTTGTACCAGAAGAGTGGCTAAATGAAATAATATACGTTGCATAAAAAGGACGATTAACTGGATTGTAAGAACTATAGAGGCATTACTCTGTTAGCATCTTCACCTGTTAGCACCCTGCTTAGCAGGGTCGTCACATATCAGATCAATTTACGGTTGCAAAAGGCTTGAGACAGGGAGATCCTTTATCCACTACATTATTCAACTTAGTATTAGAAACTGTAATCAGAAAATGCAGCATGAGGATGGAAGAAACGATCATGAAAAATGAGCACCAGTGCTTGGCATTTGCTGATGATCTACCAATCCTAGCAAAAACCGAGTAAGAATTAAGAAGAGTTGTGAAGAAAATTATCGAAGATGCACAGAAATTTGGATTGGAACTAAATGAAGACAAAACTAAATATATGATCATGGAAGGAACAGAAGGGAAAAAAGAAGACTTTAGTGTGAGGTCAGTAAGTGGTAAAAGCTATAGTTTTAAAAGGGTGGACAAATTTGAATACCTAGGTGTAGTTTTCGATGCCAGAATAGCAAAAGTGAATAAAAAATTAGGTGGTTTAAGAGCCCTACTGAACTCAAAATACGTTTCTAGACAAGGTAAACTCAGAATATATAAAACAGTAATTCCACCCACAGTAATATATGCCGGTGAGCCTGGACATTAAATAAGAAGGAAGAGGATACTCTGAAAAGATGGGAAAGGAAAATATTGAAGGCAGAAGATGGTTGGGAGAGGAGAACCAACAATGAATTAATGGCTTTATACAAAGAACCTACTATTACCAAGTTCGTCAAGGCACAAAGAATCAGATGGTTGGGACATGTGGAAAGAATGGCAGCAAACAGAATTCCTAAACTAGTAATAACCAGAAAATTAATCGGCCCCAAAAGGAGAGGTAGACCCAGAACGAGGTGGATTAGTAAAGCGGAGGAAGACCTTAAACACGTGAAGGTGAGGGAATGAAAAAAAAAAGCACAAAATAGAAGCGAATGGAAAAATATTGTACACCAGGTCCTTCAGAGTAGTTAAGAATGTTATATATACATATTTAAGTTAAAGTTTTGTTTAAAATAATTGTAATTAGGTAATATTAGAATTATGTTGTAAAAAAAATGCTCTAGGCCTTAACGGCCTGTTGTGCGTATAAATAAATAAATAAATAATACAGTGCAAAAATCGAAAGAATCGCATTTTTTTGCATTAATTGTTAATCATTAAAAAACGGCTCCGAACTTTACGCAGGAAACAGGTAGGTTTTCTTCTTATAGGTCTACAATAACT